TGTTCCCGCTTCCGCCTTATCCGATCTGTTCTGCTGCTGTGGCGAGGAAAAAAAGGAGTGGTTGGGGCGAGGGAGAAGGGAGGGTTCTGGGAATTAGGTCACAGGATTAGATGGACCATGGGGCCGTTATGTGCTACATCAAAAGTGCCTGTCAACATTTTAAAATTTCTTTTGTAGTGTTTGATGATCGTTGTATTCCTAGACTGTCAAATGCACAGCTTACTTTATGTGCTTAAAAATTCAAGTGGGATTGGGAGCCCCGCCTTACTACCTTTAAAACCGCTGTACAGGTGATCTACAAGAGGTTGTGGTCCAGGACCTTGGCACCTTCTGCCGTGTGGATAGGGTGCTGATTGCACCAAAGTGGTTTTGTGTAGGAGATAAAGAAAATAGGAGAGAGGGGAGTTAGTAGTATCTACCTCATTGATAGTGAATTAGGAGGCAGGCACGTAGTTTCTGCTTGATGATAGTGATTAGTGAACTAGGAGGTAGGCATATAGCCATCATACATGGTTCTTGATAGAAAGCATTGGCGTGAGACCTAAGCAAACTACGAGGCGCGGAAAAAAGATTGTGGATATCAAGTCCATCCCCAAGAGTTCAAAGGAAACAAATCAAATACTAACATAAAGAGATAGAGGCTTACCTCTAAGCCTTAGCCACTTGCTTACTTGCTGATGCCGTGTAGACTTGTGCTTGGGCCTATGGCGATATGTGGATCCCTTACTAATGTTATATGGCTATATAGGACCAGTAATTTCTGGTGTGATGCTTTAGGTGACCAACGTTTGTGGCATGTTAATTTTCTCAAATGTTCTCATGCATGCTCTTGCACCTTATAATGGAACTAGTTGCAATTGTAATGCTGTATGACAAGTACTCTGTCTAGAATGTAGGGTGTTCCTACCATCTTATTTGTCCACAAATATTGGCTGCTTTTACAATTTCTAGGCACGTCTCTTTCCATTCTTCCTATTATATATACCCCCATGCTTATTACTCTCAACTGAATGCCTTCCCTTCCTAATGCTCCTTAAGAGAGAACATGGGGTTTGAGATAATAATTAGAGAACCTAGGAGCAGGAGAAGGGCATGGTTGTAATTTCAAGCCATTCCTTATTTCTTGTGGCCATGACTAAAAGGACATATATTTGTGGACTGAGGAAAGGATCATTTCCCCTATGAAAAATGGCAATTATGCGACCGCCATGTACAGTGTATTTCTATGGGTCAGCATGTGAAACTCATGTACTGTCTATCTTACATCAAGTGCCCCTGCTTGTTGGCCCTACTGTAATAGATCATTGTTCATGTATTAGCCTACAAGAGTTTTATAGATACTGTATAATTTAATTTGTTTCTAATTCTTTTATTGGTATGCTGCAGGATGGTAACAGAGTAGCTTCGGAACAAGCGAGGGGCACAGAACCTGTGGCTGATGGAGTTGGTCCCTCAAAACAAAACCCTGTAAGTTTTCTTTTGTTATGTGAACTTGGTATTGGAAGAATACATGCACATTGCACATGCTACTGTCCTTTACCGCATTTTTTCCTAGATCACACTCTAACCACAACTTCCTTTTTCTTGTGATTGCCATCTGTAGCCTATTGATGCAAGTTCGATGGCCATTGATGAGCCACCTGTTGTCAGGGTTGAACCAGAGAGATCAAACAAATTACAGGAACAACAAGCATTGCATCAGAAACCATGATCACCCACCTTAACGTAGCAACTGATGCATCTGTGCACCCCATTGACTCCATTGGACAAGCCAGGACAAGTCTGTAAGCTGAAGCAGAGTTCAAACAATGTACTGCACCCACAAGTTAGCTACCAGAATCCAAAGATGGTCTGTGTGCCTTAAGAGCTGGTGAAACTTTGAGCACTATATTGGTGACTTTGACACAAATGATAGTTGATTCGTCAATGCCATTTTTAGCACTAACTTATGTCCGGGCCTGTAGGGCAAATGAGTTAGTATTTTTTTTTAGAGATCAAGCAACCGGGTTAGTAATGCAGTACATTCCAACTAAATGCTTCTGGGGAAATGCAACTGTGTATGTGACTAAACAGTGTACAGCTAGGCGAAGCCTTTGTTTTGGTGGGAGCTGGTTCTCATCGCATAAGGGGCGTCTTTTAGTCGGTTAGGAGGAATACCGATTACTGTGTTTTCGGTGTCAAGTCTGTTCCATTGACAAATATTGCATTCATAATGCATGCCAATTGATGGATTGTTTTATTGAGTCATCATTGACCTTATAACATTCTTTGAGAAAATAATTGTGGCCTTCATATTGTAATGATCAAGTTTGAGAAGACTACCTTTACCACAATTAATAAAGATTGCATGTTAAAAGGTAAAAGGTTTTTAAAAATACACAAACAGAGATCAATTTCTCACATCAAACAAGTAAAAGCAAACAAATATATTAAACATTTTTGGGCGGAGCAAGTGCGGGCCCCATATCGCATTAGAGACAATTCATCCCATGCAGTGTAGAATACCCCCTCCGTTCCAAATATAGCGCGCCCACGCTTTCCTAGGTTCAACTTTGACCATAAATTTAACCAACGATACCGACTGCGTCGGGAGCAAAAATTATATGAGTGAATTTGTATTCAAAAGAAGTTTTCAAATATATATTTTTTTCTTCCACGACAGTCGGTCTCGTTGATTAAATTTATGGTCAAAGTTGAAGCATGAAAAGTGATGATGCACTATATTTTGGAATGGAGGGAGTATGTGAATAGGCTCCCATGCCATGCAGGGAGCCCCTTGCAAAGGTCACTCACACCTTCTCTGATGGTGAAAAGTAGCACACTGCACGCTCGTCACTTGTCACAATTTGAGAGTTTTTTTTCTTTGTAGATTCGAAAGAAGTTTTCAAATATATATTTTTTTCTCCCGCAGCAGTCGGTCTCCTTGATTAAATTTATGGTCAAAATTGAAGCATGAAAAGCGATGACGCACTATATTTTGGAATGGAGGGAGTATGTGAATAGGAGCCCCTTGCAAAGGTCACTCACACCTTCTCTGATGGTGAAAAGTAGCACACTGCACGTGCGTCACTTGTCACAATTTGAGAGTTTTCTCTTTGTAGATTCGTCTTTTAAAACGTTTTATCTCTGAATGGCGCGTCCAAATCATGAACTGTATTCACCGTTGGATTTCTCTGTTGAGATCTTCAAAACTAGATCCTATATTAATAGGTATAATTTTTTTTTGAAAAAATCAGAAATAAAAAGAAAACTGAAGACCGAAAAAAACAGACTGGAAAGAAGACTTAAAACTAGAAAAATACAAAAAGAAAACCCCCGAAAGCACGGTTGTGCTTTTTATTTTGTAACTTCTTGTTGGAAGCACAATTGTGATTTTCCCTCTTGGGAAGCCCAACCATTCCTCTTGCGTAAGCACAAACTAAGCCATTTCCTTTTTAGTCAAGCACATCTGTGCCTCTCGAAGAAGCATATGATATGCTTTTCTCTTTCAGGAAGCATAGTTGTGCTTTTTCTCTTTTGCTTCTCACAGAAGTACAACGGTGCTTCTCGCAGAAGCACAACCATGCTTTTAAAGAAGAAATGATTTTTTGAGATAAACATAGGAAAAACCGAGCATGATATTAAAATCCAAAAAAAAACGAAAACTTCCCCAAAAAATTAAATGCGAAAAAGGTGCAGAAAATAGGAAAAATCGTAATCTCATGGGGTGCACCCCGCGTGTGGCGATGGCTGGGCACACTCCTTGCTCCTGAGCGAGGCAGTAGTACCCGTTCACCTCAAGCAGCCTCACTAGTGGACCGACCTAGTATCTTGGGAGACGTATGTTTTCTTTGTTTTTTCAATTTTTATTGTTTCACTTGTTCAATTTTTTTATGTTTGTTTATATTTAAAAATATTCTAAACAAACATTCTTAGAAATATATTCTAGTTAAAATTTAAAAGCGCTCATCACACATTAAAAAGTATTCATGCAATTTCTAAAGAGGTAACATGTTTAAAAATATGTTTGTAACATTTCAAAAAAAATGTCTAGGTAGCTTATACAGATATTTTCTACCATTAAATAAATGTTAATCACATAAAAAATGTTTAAAATGTAAAATAAATATTTGCTTAATTTTAGAAGTATTTAATAACATACAATTTTTATGAAATTTGAAAAATCTTTGTGACATTTAGAAATGTTTAAACAATGTAAAGAAATGTTCAACGTGTATCAAAAAACTGTTCAGCATGTGTACAACAGATATAAAACTATATTAAAAAGTTGACATGTATTTGAAAAAAAAGGAAAAAACAAAAAATAAAATGAAATAGGAAACATCAGAAAAAAGAAAACAGACAAAAAAACCATAAAGAAAATCACAGAAAAGGAGAAAAAAACCCACGTAAAATCTTCTCAAAACCGATGGAAGGTTCCATGAACCGGTGCTCAGAACCTTCCCAAAACAATTCACTAGATCAGCCTACTAAAAGAACACAACAGAGAGCGCCAAAGGCGAGACGGAGCAAGATCTCACAATAAGCAAGACATAGCTCCCGGCGAATCTTGCGGGATTGAGTCAATATTTGTCTTTGGTGGATTTGTATGGATCTAATATTCGTTCATCCGCGTTCGTGTGTCTATAGGTTATATCCTTTTGATCTGCATTTCTCTTCATCAACGATGCTTGCTGTTTTGGTGCGCTGCTCCTTTGGGGCCTTAGAACGACGGCTTCTCAATTGTCTATTGCAATAAGGTTTGCCCGACTTTGGTGAGGGAGGGCGGTAACGGCGACACACCTTTAGTTCACTCCAGTGCTTATAGTTGTCCCTAGGTGGCCTATGGACCTAGATGTAATTTCTGTTACTTCTAGTGTTTTTTGTACTGCCATAATATTTGATGAGTATTCCCTTAATGATCTAAAACGTCTTATATTTGTTTACAGAGCGATTTGATCAGAAGTTTTTCCCGCAGAAAAACAAGATAGTAGGACACATTGCCTTTTCATTTCTACAGTTGAAACTATGTTATTTGTTTTGTAGATTACAGCCTGTAGTGCAACCTAGTGGATTTTCAGAACCTGCCCCATCTAGTCACAAAAACTAGATTTGATATTTGATTCGTTGGCAACTGCCACTGTTGTAAAAGTAGCCATACATTTTATCAAATATAACCCATGATTCATCTACATTTATGTTCGATGAGTGGAACCTCGTCGTCATATCTGAAATTAAAAACATTGTATTTTATCAAACGCAATGCATAGTCCACCATATCTAAGTTCCAGGATGGAACATAGGCGAAACTTTATGTTTATGAAACCTAGATAAGTCATTGTAGAGCGTATTTTAATTACTTAAGATAATACTTTGGTTAATGGCCACTGCCAACTATCATGCAATCTATGTGATATAAAACCATGTCACTATATCTGTACCAAGAATATTTAATTATAGTTGTGGTTTCATCACACCGACCATATATTAACAACGATTTCACTACAAATCGGACATTAGTTTTTTAACAGGGCAAATCAAATGTTTTTTATGGCAAAGTATGTTGTCGCGAGGATGAAAATTTCCATTAGCAAGCATGCCGAATCCTTGCCATGTTCTGTTTTTTTGTCAGGATTTGCCATAGTTGCTAAAGGAAATTATCATCTCCGCGACAACATAATTGACCATACACAATAGCTAGATGTAAGTCACCTATATTTGCAACTTGGGTTAGTGGATTATCAAGTGAAAGGAGAGCAGCCGGAGGGAACGAAGGACCTTACCGGAGAAGCCATCTAGGTCTATCTTAGGGTGGCCGGTGACTCCATTATCTATGTTGGGGGTGTGGGGTGAAGGAAATATGCCCAAGAGGCAATAATAAAGTTGTTATTTTATATTTCCTTATTCCTGATAAATATTTATTATTCATGCTAGAATTGTATTAACTAGAAACTTGATATATGTGTGAATACATAGACAAAACACCGTGTCCCTAGTATGCCTCTACTTGACTAGCTCGTTGATCAAAGATGGTTAAGTTTCCTAGCCATAGACATGTGTTGTCATTTGATGAACGTGATCACATAATTAGGAGAATGATGTGATGGACAAGACCCATCCATTAGCTTAGCATAATGATCGTTCTGTTTTATTGCTACTGCTTTCTTCATGTCAAATACATATTCCTCCGACTATGAGATTATGCAACTCCCGGATACCGGAGGAATAACTTGTGTGTTATCAAACGTCACAACATAACTGGATGATTATAAATATGCTCTACAGGTATCTCCGAAGGTGTTTGTTGGGTTGGCATAGATCGAGATTAGGATTTGTCACTCTGAGTATCGGAGAGGTATCTCTGGGCCCTCTCGAAAATGCACATCATAAGAAGCCTTGCAAGCAATGTGACTAATGAGTTCATTGCGGGATGATGCATTATAGAACGAGTAAAGAGACTTGCCGGTAACGAGATTGAACTAGGTAGGAAGATACCGACGATCGAATCTTGGGCAAGTAACATACCGATGACAAAGGGAATAACGTACGTTGTCATAACGGTTTGACCGATAAAGATCTTCGTAGAATATGTGGGAGCCAATATGAGCATCTAGGTTCCGCTATTGGTTATTGACCGGAGAGGTTTCTCGGTCATGTCTACATAGTTATCGAACCCGTAGGGTCCACACGCTTAACGTTCGATGATGATTTGTGTTATATGAGTTATGTGAT